GAGTTTTTGGTACAAAATAAATAAAATATCAAACATAACATTCTAAATTTCTCATTCCTCGTCAATGTCTGGGAAAGGTGAAAGTTCAAGTCCGAAACATTATATTGAATGGAGCTGAACTATCTTCTCTACCCTTAGTAGATGAGCATTTCCTCTGCCACTAGGAGAACCCTTCTAAATTTGTTGACCACCACTTGCAGCAGCATTTTGATTCAGATTAGGTATGTCGACGAAGTCTTCCTCTGCCCTAAATAATGGAGAAGGAAAGGCACCTCTCCACCCACAATTTGGGTGCAACCGCAGATGACCAAAAAGTAACAATCAAAATACTATTAAATACATCATTACAAAAATGTCACGTACATTGCACGCGCCAATGACTAGTGTGTGTGTGTGTGTGTGTGTGCATACAATTTTTTATCCTACAACAAAAAGATAGAATAATTGATGGCTGATAAAATTCTTACTCCCTAATTCATTGATCAAATAAAAATCCATAAGCTACCTAATACAACAGAAGAGTTTTTGGTGCAAAATAAACTAAAAACCAATAACAGCATAACATTCTAAATGAGAACATTCTAAACTTCTCATTCCTCATCAGTATCTGGAGAGGTGAAAAGTTCTAGTCCGTAACTTTATATTTAATGGAGCTGAACCATCTGCACTGTAATACCTTATCTAATTAAACTAATCAACACTTAAAATTTGAGGTCAAATATGTCATGCTAGAAAAAAATTGAAACAAACAAAATTGAAGTTAGACGGTAGGTGACTTTATGTATTAAACCAATTATATAATCAAATCCAGTTCAATCAATTCATAATGTACACACAACACATACAAATAGAGAAGTCGAGAGCAGATAGAAGGAAAAGAGGAAAGAAAGAAGAAAAAAGGAAAAGAGGAGGAGGAGGAAGAACAAGAAGAGTTCGGCAACAGATCAGGAAATAAATTACTTATTCAAAAGTTAATGTTAAATTTTAGAGTAGTTGAATTATTAGTTTAAATTCAATTTTATTGAAAGGGGACTATTGAATTATGTCCAATAAGTTACGAAATTGTTAAAGGAAAGAAAAGAACAGCTGAAGTGATTGAAGGAAATGGGAAAATTGCTCAATTATATAAATATTAAGATTTAGTATCGCCTATTTAATTATTGGAGTTACTTAAAATGGTTAATTGTTAATATAAACATTATATCACATTTCAAGTGAGGCAATGGATATTGGGATAGCTTATCGGCCAAACTAATTGCCATGTAAATAGCTTATGAATGGAAAAACTTAAATATTTTTCAAGTATTGATAAATTAATTATACTAATATACATTTTATACAAATATGTGAATTATTTGTCCAATTACATGATTAATGTGAAAATATTCTTTCATTATGATATATGTAGAATTTCAAATATTGTATATGGATTATTTGTGAATTAGAATGTAAGACGTGTGATATTGAGATCGGCCAAAAAAGTATCCGTGATTATATATTTTTAGTTCACTGAGGGGTCTTGGCCGTATTCTATACTACACTGAGGGGTTTTAACCATGGATGGAGAGGTTTTGACCATGTACATATAATTCATTGAGGGGCCTTGGCCGTGTTCTAGAATTGATTATGATTGGGACTACTTTCGTTCACTAAAGGAGCTTGAGGCCAGTGTCGGGAGTGCTTGGCCCGAGGGGCAGTTTACGCACATATACCTACATTACAAATTTCAGTCCGAGGGTACATTTTTGGTAAATTTTCCGATACATTTGATGTGATAAGATGATGATATAGATTTCAGTTGATGATTATATCAT